TGAAGGACTGTGTTGCTGAACCGGCTTCAACCTAAACTGTGCCATCTTCAGTGGAAGCTGGTTTTGGTACCCTCTTTGGGCGTGAACACCCACTTTGGAAACTACACGTGTGGAATCCGTATCAAGTATTCTTCTCCCTTTTTTCGGTTTCAGATCTGGTCCGGTTTCGGTGAAAGAACAATCCTAGAAAAATACGATTTTTCTAAAACGGGGAATACGATTCCCAAAAGGGTAAAATAAATTTTTGAAATTTCACCCTACCATCTAGTATGGTTCGGCCATCCATATGATGGATTTCCCTTTCCTTCAGGAAGATTTTGCAGTGTTTAGAAAATCGGACTAGACCAGCCGGTTGAACTGTGACCTAGGGCCTTGATCGATTCGGTTATACCCCAATAACCGGACCTTCTCAAAGCTTGCTAAAAACCGGTTAACCAACCTATTGAACCAGAAAACTGGTGAACCGGTCCCGATTTCATGAAACTACCGAGGTCTATATATAAGTGAAATTTTAAAATGTTGTTAATAAGATTTGAACCCACCACCTCTTATTTTCATAGATTACTTAATTACCACTAGTCCACCTCTTTACTTATGCTAATTAATGATTATTTATTAAGAAATTGCAATTGTTGAAAGCAAGAATTAAGTTGTGGAATAAAGAGAGTTTTGGAAAGATTGAAGAAAGAAAACAGGAAATTCTAGGCAGAATAGAGGAGCTAGATGGTGAGGAAGCTAAGAGAAGCTTGAGTTCAAAAGATAGCAGAGAGAGATGGGGTTTGAAGGAGTTGGAAGACATCCTAAGAAAAGAGGAGGTTACTTGGAGACAAAAATCTAGATGCCAATGGCTCAAGAAAGGGGATGGCAATACTAGTTTTTTCCATATGTTGGAAAATGGAAGAAAGAGGAAAAAATCAGTGTTGAAATTGGAATGGAATGGGCAAGTATTGACGAGAGATGAGGACATAGCCCAAGCCTTTGTGAATCATTTCAAAACTCTCTATGAGAGTCCAAGGAGGTTTGGAGAAAACTTAGAGGACCTGGATTGGAGGGTTGGGAACAGAGAACTGTTGGACTCCTTGGAAAGGAAATTTGAGGTTCAGGAAGTCAAAAATGTAGTTTTCTAGATGACAAGATCTAAAGCCCCAGGACCTGATGGTTTTACGATGGCTTTCTATCAAGATTGTTGGGAAATAATTGAGGGTGACTTGATGGAGGTGTTTGATGAGTTCCATGAGATGGGCAAATTTAACTCAGGTGCCAATGCAACCTTCATCGCTTTGATACCAAAGAAAGTTGATGCAATTCAACCGAAGGATTTTAGGCCCATAAGTTTGATAGGTAGCATGTAGAAAATCATTTCCAAGGTTTTATCCCTAAGAATAAAATATGTTCTTCACTCGATGACTTCTCCAAATCAAGGGGCTTTTGTGTTTGGAAGACAAATAATTGATCAAATCCTTATTGCCAACGAATGTGTAGAGGTTAGAAGAAGGAAAAAACAAAAGAGATTGGTGTGCAAATTGGATTTAGAGAAAGCCTATGACATGGTGGATTGGGAGTTTCTGTTGGAGATTCTTAAGCGTAGGGGTTTTGGAGAGAGATGGTGTAAATGGGTGAAGGGCTGCATTACTTCATGTCATTTTTCAATTCTGGTAAATGGAACAGCAATAGATTTTTTTCCTACCAAAAGGGGCCTAAGACAAGGAGATCCTCTATCTCACTTCCTATTTACTCTGGTAACTGATGTGTTGAGTGAGTTGATCATAAGGGAAGATGCCAACAATATATGATTAAAGGCTGGAGAGTTGGAAGGGATGAAGTGGTGGTTACACATTTACAATTTGCATATGACATTATTATGTTTTGTGAAGGGAAAACTGAAGAACTCATGAACATAAAAAGGATAGTCCATAAATTTGAGAGGATCTCTAACCTAAAGATCAATTGGGGCAAGAGTTGTGTGGCAAGAGTAAACTTAGGGAGCGAAGAGGTGATTCGATTAGCTGGAATATTGGGGTGTAAGGTAGGAGATTGGCCATTACAGTATCTGGGACTACCTTTGGGAGGAAATCCTAATATGAATAGTTTCTGGTACCCAGTGATTGAGAGATTTACAAAGACACTTGCGAATTGGAAGAGAAATTACATTTCTTTGGGAGGTAGGATAACCCTGATAAAGTCGACGTTGGCTAACTTACCAGTGCATTTCCTATCTACCTTTAGGATACCGGTGAAAGTAGCAAACCAGCTAGAAAAGATTATGAGGGACTTCCTTTGGGAACCAGGAGACCACCTAGTGAAGTGGGAGGTGGTTTCTAGAAGTAGAGATGAAGGGGGACTAGGAATAGAAAATCTTAGGCTAAGAAATACAACATTATTGGGGAAATGGTTGTGGAGATTGCCTTTGGAACAAGACAGACTTTGGCATAGAGTGATTATTAGCATTCATGGATTGGCAAACAATGGTTGGGATGCAGGAGTCGACCCAAGGGCTTCCCGGTGCTCTCCTTGGAAAGCTATTCATGGTATTTTACCTTCATTCCTTCCTTATGTCAAATTTGATGCTTGTGCAAGAAATAAGGTCTTATTTTGGGAAGATGCGTGGGTTGGAGACACTCCCCTTAATGAAAGGTTCCCTTTTATTTATTCACTCTCTGAAAATAAAAGAAAAGTGATCTCTTCAGTCTTTACTGATAACTCTTGGGACTTGGGTTTGAGGAGAGGTCTAAGGGAGTCGGAAATGACAATGGTGGATGAATTAATTAAACTTCTAGGGTCAACTTACYTRGATCAATCTTRTGTGGACAGTAGAATTTGGAAACCTTCCCCTTCTGGTGTGTTCACTTGCTCTTCCTTTTATGATATCCTCATTCAATCATCAAACCCTGTAAGGAGCTTTCCTTCAAAGGAGATTTGGTATCAGCTTGTACCCCCAAAAGTTCGGACTTTTTGTTGGGAGGTGGTTATCTAAAAAATCAATACTCTAGATTTGTTGCAAAGAAAAAGGCCAAATGTTTGCCTATCACCCCATGTTTGTAGCCTCTTCTTGGGATCT